CCAACAAACAGTAGAACATGACTGTAGCGGCATCCGCTATAGCGTGACCATCCCTACAGCGGGACCGTACCGGAATCCCAATTTTTCTTCCTATGTAAATAAGGAATTGCTTCTCACTCAAATTAACGGCCAAGATAATCAACGAAGTTGACAATAAAAGGAAGACTAATATAAAGCATACATTTTATTGATGGAAGGGATGTAATCATGTAGATATTTCTATTAGGAATTGTTCGGTAATTTACCCTTTGCATTCCTATAGCGGGAACTCGCCTACAGTCGGATTTTCTTCTGGAACCAAAAGTTCCGCTATAGCCGTGTTCTACTTTACGTACAATCAGCACACGTGTCAGTGCGCTTCCTCTTCCACAGAGATGTCACACTACGCAACAGCTAGTCTGCGCTCTGCAAAGTTAGGTCTTGGTGAAGTTGCAAAGGAGAGCAATTTATCTTCCCTCACTGATGCCAATTTTGTTTTCGCTATAATGACTGAATTCTTTACTATGAACACTATGTGTGTGTTTTTGATACAAAGAATGTTATTAGAAAACTTCGAGATCTGAATGTATATCCCTTCAGTTTGTGCAGGTTTTTTTCGTTTTGGGCATGCTAGACTACTAGTCTAACCTATGTGTGTTTACTGACAGAGATGCTAAGGGTATTGCTCCTCAAAATTAACGATGGTATGTTGTTGTTTGGTGGGTTGTTTTTTTGTTTTGTTTTTTAGGGGGGGGGGGGGGGGATTGATTGATTTCCTTTTACGAAATTACAAGCTGGAAATATAGTTTGTAATTTTAACTAACCACAACCAGAGTTTACATAAAACTATTCTGGCATGACCCAAGAGGTTGTTGAACTTTGTCAGTAAAACAAATCACCATGATTCCCAATCCTCAGGCCTTGGGTAATTTCACCATGCTCTTGGTGCAACCACCAATATTCTTATTATACTGTCTTACATGATGTACTGCAAATGCTTGTCATAATCAGTGGCAAATAATCAATGACATATCAACAACAGCATTGAAAACTGAAACTATTCTTTTCTTTAAATCTCCACTTGAACAACATGCCTAAAAATCTCACAAACAAAGTTGTTCAACAAATATTTTTGTAATGTTCCCACCAGCTTCAATAAAAGTGGAAAAATGAAAAAGGAAGTGGATTAAAATTATAAGTCAACAGACAATCCAAGGGAAGATGCTCTGCAAATTTTGTTTTCATTCTTCTGCTTTATTTAGAAGATAATGAAAGTGAAAGTGGTTGCAGCTAGGTTTGGTTGCACCAAGGGCTGTTTACCCTAATTTGTTTATTATTTGCCTTGGCCTTGGCTCAGAGATAATTTCACAGGTAAGTGACGACCCAATGCATTTATAGGCTAGATCTACATGTTCAGGCATGACTGGTTGGTTTGTCTTGTGAGATTCAGAATGACATCCATCTTTTTTGGAGGTCTCTAAAGGAGATCAACACAATTAAATCTCTTTCCTTAAAAATGAAATAATTTAAGAAGGCATAGATTATAAAACGATACCCATTAAAAGATGAGCTAGTGTGGGGGTGGCATGGTCTGATAAGGAGTGTAGTCTGTACACTAACAGTTTTGTTTTTGCTCCAACATCTTATGGTAGAGTTATACAGTAGAACATGACTATAGCGGCACCCGCTATAGTGGGACCATCCCTACAGCAGAACCTTACCGCAATCCCAGTTTTTCTTCCTATGTAAACTCAATTACTTGTGCTTGGATATATAGCGGGGCAAGAAAAGTCCTGAACTCGGATACAGCGAGAGAGATCGAGCGAGCTCTTAGCTGGGGGGAGGGGGGCTGTAGGCGGGCTCCAAACAGGCAATCGGCGTTGTGATTGGCTAGTCGAGGAGGGATGAGTGAGGTCGGGCAGGCGGTAGGCCTAGAGAGAAATGGTGCGTAGAGAAAGATGATGCGGAGAGACGGTGCGTGAACCACTCCAAATGTGATGTAGATCTGTAATAGCCCTAGCCCTGGCTAGGCCAAAAAGTAAAAGAAGAGGAGAGCGTGTAGTGTGTGATTCCTGATTCATTGCATTGCGATTTTTGATGCTCAAGCATACGCATGCATACACTTCACCAGTTCTACAGTAGGCCTACCGGTACGATAGACAGCACAAGCGACAAACCGAGGAAAAGATGGCTTCCAACAAAGACAAAAGGAAATGCTTTTCACTCGAATTAAAGGCCGAGATAATCAACAAAGTTGACAAGAAAAGGAAGACTAATCTAAAGAGCAAATTTTATTGATATGGAAGGGATGTAATCATGTCTATTTTTTTAAATTTGATAATTTCCCCTTTGTATTCTTATCGCGGGAACTCGCCTACAGCGGGATTTTTCTTCTGGAACCAAAACTCCCACTATAGCCGTGTTCCACTGTATTACACTTACCACCACCATATAGCTAACTTTCCTCTTTAGATATATATATATATATAAAATATAGATCTATCGCTAGCAGCGTGATTCAACCGCATAAGTGACATGATTTCCGAAAATCACTTTTTGATCCCTTTGTGTAGAACAGCCTTTGATACACCTTATGTTAAATCCCCGAGTTTGAAAGATTACCGCAAAGTGTTTCAATCCCTCAGTAAATGATCGCCTAGATATCACACCTGTCCCCGATTTCCGCGTGATTCAACCTCCCAAGTGCCAGTTTTGCAGCCCGGTGACGAATGGGCGGTTGAATCGCGCAGATTCAGTGACTTGTTGAGGTGTTCACCTGTCACGTAGGCGGTGTGACCCACACGACTATGGCCTTTGTCAGAACAGACTGGAGGGTAACATCAACCAAAGTGCCGCCTTTGCTAACTTCGACTCAGACTCATATCGAACCCTATAGATAGCCTGAAGATTTTGTCAAGGCACTTTGCGTAATCTATCACTAGGTTTGGTAGTGTAGTTGAGAAAGGACAAGATGGCATCAAAGTAGGTAAATTGTGGCAAAAGCACTGATGAATGAATTTTTTAAAAAGTCTATGATGGACTGCTAAGGGGCAATTATTTCACATTCGGCACAACTACCTAACTATCGGAAAATATTTTTTCGGGACTTCGCATTTCTTAATTTGCTTTAAGTGTGCGCCGAGTGTGCGCCCCTTGCTGTGTCTTTCATGTACCATTCTTGAATGAATCATTGATTACTTTATCAGTGCCGGTAAAACACATTCACATGAGCTGTTGACTTTATATTTGTCTGAATCTGTAGTAATTGTTGTTTTTTTGTTTATATGCATGTAACATTCCTCACAGTCACAGTCCAGGGTATTGCGCTTTCATGTCATGCTGTGCTAGACCTGATTATCAAAGAGGTCTGGCATTTTCAGGAACAAACAATAAGACCTTGCTTGTGACAACTTGCCACAATGCATTCACAGGAAACAAATTTGAAATTTGAACTTATATTTTACTAAATTATAAACAGTACTGGTGGAAAGACCCATCTATATATGCAAAACAATGAGTTTGTATACTACTGCCCTCACACAGTGGTTATTCATGACTGTTGCAAAGACAGTTTACATGACTTGGAGATGAGAGCTTCACGATTATCAAGTTACCAGAGAGCAGAAGAGGACAACAATTTTGTGATAAATATTTCTTTGACGAACTTGACAAAATTGCTTTCCCATTACTACAGACAGAATATGTGCAAAATCTATCTTGACTAACACATTCAAAGCCTCAGAAGCCTTTATAGAGAGTACCGAAGAAAATAGAGTCACATATTGTCTCAGACAACTTTAGAGAGATGTTAAAAAAGAAGAACCTGTAGTTGTATGTATGTCGGAAGGATCAATGTGATGTATGCAAGGTAGGAGAAAGAATCTAACATGAAGCTTGCACAAAACAAAGTGGATGGGACCAGGTTTTGTCCAATGTGCATGGACTTGGAAGCGGCTTTGAACACATCTGCTGCACTATATTGTAACGGGACCAAATTAGCTGTCTATATTTTTTAAAATTTGGTTACCAAAGATTTGAAGTGTCAGGTTTGGCATGAAGGAGGACCATTGATTGCCAATGAATTCTCTTCCTGGAGGAGCCTACTGACAATAAATATGCCATGTTCATTATATACAGTGATGGCTGTACTTATCAGACCACAACGCTATCTTGTCAAATGCAATCAGCGACATTTGTACCAGATGAAACAAAACTGTTGAACCCAAATACTTTGAAAAGGAAGAAACACAAATGGAAGTGGACAGCACACACAGTGCAATCGAAAGTCCCTGAAAAATTGTTTGGTCTAAATGCTCATGGGTAATCTTGAACAATTGTAAGAAAGCAAAACAATACCAATTAAGATGAATGGACTTTTTTACCAACTCCAGCAGGCCAAAAAAACAGTCCTGCCCCAGAAGACCCAACCATATAACTGAAATAATTACTTTTAACTTAACAATTACTCTTAAAACTATTATGATTTGCTTTTGTCCATTACTGAAACGACCAAGCGACAATTGTCGCTCGTCGAATGGCGTTAATTAACATGATTCAAACGACTAGACGCCATCATGCTGTCACTTAAGTGGTTGAATCACGCAGATTTTGGAGGGTGTAAACCGCCTAGATCTATGTCCAGTAACTTATGTAAGAAAGCAACTTTTTTTAAAAAGTTGATTACAGACCATCGTTCTACATGATATTACATCATATATCTCTGAATTTCAGATTCATAGGTACGAGCATAAAAAAATAAAATAGTTTTTTGCTTCTCCTGACAAATTTGTCTCTTGGCACTTAGGCGGTTGAATCACGCCGCTAGCGATATATATATATAGATGAATTGTGGCTTTGGTTTGGTGACATCACAAGCTTGCAAGGACATTTGACAAGCACACACGTGCGTTCATGAGAGAGAGAGAGAGAGAGATTCGGGTCTTTACTTTTGAGCACTCTTTGACTATTAATTATTGTTTTCTTGTGAGTAATGTAAGTATGGTTTCACCTTATTTCTACAGATTCCAACAAAGAAAAGACAACATGATGTCCATCTAGAATGTGCCTGATGGTGGTGGTCCTTTGTCTCCAAGGTGGGAAAGTAAAAATTTGAGAAATATGAAGCATCGTGGTGAAACCAAGCACTCGTCGAAATAATGAAATTGAAAAATTTTTTTCCTGGCTGTTTGGCAATTTCTATTGATTTTTTGTTTTGTTTTGGGCTCAACACCGTTTATGTTTACTCTGGCATGGATTTTTACTGAACGACGTTTATCGCCAAAATGTAAATTTGTAGTTTCCAAGGACACTACCTTGTTCATTTGCCTTGCTTTTTTAATGAAAAAAATACCCAGCTTTTTTAAATTAAAAAATTACCCATCTTTCTTGAATAGAAGTCGAGATATTTGCGTTTGAAGGAGCTCGGGATCGGTAAAGTTTGGTGAAATATGTATTAACTTGAGAGTCCTTGGAAACTGAAAATTTACAATTTTTGTGCCTTTAATCAATGTGCAACCTTTCTACTGCTACTTGGCTCCTTCTTTAATAAAATCAGAGAGTTTACAGTAATACTATTACTGTAAACCCTCTCTGATAAAATCAAGTCCGAACAGAAATGTGTTTTTTAATAAACATAAATAATGTTAGTCAAGAAATTTTTTTTTTATATGATAAGATAATAGCCTACTTTATTATCCTAGGGGAAAATTTTTCTTGGCTGTGCAGGAGTGTAAAAACACATGCAGGTATACATAGAAATTTAAATTATATATAATTACTCTCATTAAAATTCAATATGGAAAGAGAAGTAAAGCTGACAAAATGTACATATCACATCAGATACATCATTCAACCGCTTGCAGGAATTTAATTACCAGACCTTTAGAGTTATATAGATACATACGGTACTCGAAAGAGCAATACACACGGATGCTTAAATTCTAACAATAATAGCCTTATGCTAAATGGTAAAAACCTTTTTTTATATCTTTCTTTCTTTCTTTTTAGAAGTAGATGTCTTCCGCTGGGTGATCTTACAATTTGCGTGGAAAGGGGGTGTGAGATGGGTCGTTTATAATGCTTTTTATCTTTTTTATACTTGTGGTGTTGTACATTTCAACAATTCTAGTAAAAATTGCCAAACTGGTTGGAAAATGCCAGTTTCCTTTATTTAATTATTTTGATGAGCTCCTGATTTCATCACTACATGCCTCACAAATACAGATAAAGATATAGTCAAAACTCAAACTTCGTTATACCACCACCTATTGGGTCGACCATGAAATTGGCGAAAAAGCGGGATGGCAGTTCAAACTAGCGGTTTCTCTGTTGTATAGCTCCGACTGCCCAACGTCAAGGAACATGATTCTGTTATGTTTGAAAAGTGTCTTTTTGTTGCTAATTTGCATACGTAGGCTACTAGCACCTGTATTGAGAGCCGAGAGTCTATTCTCTCTCTATTTCTGTGTCTGTCTCAGTGAGAAGGATTATTTAAGTAGCCAACCAGACTGTGTTGTGAGCTGTGTTTACCTCTAGCAGTCAGTTCGCTGGCGGTATATCGGGGCGAATGTACATTGATTGAATAAGGACTGTACAACTCACACAGTTGGCGAATGGCAGTGCAAAGGCATGTAAATACTGTGAGGCGCTCCTTTCCGTGTGGCATACTTAGGCAAAACCTAGCAGTTAAGCGGGGCTGGTGGTATAACGGGGCGATACAACGAGATTTGACTGTAATTTAAAATTAATCCATTATTAAGACTTTCATTGAGATTGGGGTGTCAAAATTACATCTGTTGTATATGACATCAAAATGTCATTATAATTAGTAAACTGGTAAGGTTATATGCTATTATATCTTGTGAGTCACTTCTGTGAACAGAGCATCACAACAAGTGAACAGGTGAAGAAAGATGACAGCACAGACTACAAGGGATGGCTCGAAGCACACTAGAAAAACTTATTAAAAACCTAGACCAAATTGCTAGGGCCATGGAAATTTAAGTTGCACATGTGTGTTGGTTTGGGGGGGGTGTGTGCCAGGAGTCCGTGGAAAGTTAACAGAGTATGATGATAGAGTCAAGACAGTCACTGCAGTGGAACCCACAAGGAGCACGAGGCAGGGGTAGGCCACGGGAAACATGGAGGAGATGCGTGGAAAGGGACATGAGAGAAATGAAGCTCACTTGGAACAAGCTTGGAAGGATGGCTCAGGACAGAGATAAATGGAAGGAGCTTGTATGTGGCCTATACCCTGCCAGGGGTGAAAGGCATTGATTGATTGATTGATTGATGATAGAGTCGAAAGAATACACAAAAGCCAGGCCATCTACCAAAAACTGATTAAAGTAAAGGAAGTGTTCACGCTCATGTCTTGTGAAGAGATATTGTAAGTAATTGTATAAGGGAAAATACTCAAAATGTAAATGAAAATTGGTTCAGCATATTGTGGACAAGTGGGTGGTTGGCGGGTGCTCTGGTGTGATTTGCTTCTTCTTTCCTATGAAATGAAACTTCTATCGTTCTTATCTCCCCTTTTTCTTTTTTATGTCTGTTACTCTCTTGTAACACCTCTAATCTTCTGGCGCTCAAATGACCGTATGCAGTTGCGAGCGCCGTAAAACCTCTACTGAAAAAATATTGTGGGCAAGATGTCCATATATGTACACACACACACACATATATATATAT